ACAAAGCGCGCGCGCAGCGCGCGCGCGCCTCCAACAGTTTAGAAATTTAGCTGATTTTCTAAATAAAAACGGCTGCCAGAGCGCCGCCAGCTCCTTGCCCAGCAAGCTCCCGAGCAGCTCCAAAATCGCTGCCGAGCAGCTCCCCGCCGATTCATTTATATAAACTAAAATTCTCCAACAAGCACCCCAACCGCTCCGGCGACAGAGCGCTAGCGCCCCCCTATACAGCTCCGAGCGCGGCGCGCGCCCTGTTTGCAAGCACTTTGGAGCCCCTCAGATTCCTAACCATACGGCCTGTAGCCCTCAAAATCGAACAGCCCTCAAAGTACCGAATTCTGACCTATGTCTCGAAACAAGGCCTGTAGCTACCACAGGGTAGGAGCTGACAACACCCTCCCCAGAGAGAGCGGCCTTTTATTTATATAAATAAATCGGGGGTGCCGGGCTCTCCACAGTTCCACCGTCCGTTCGTCCGCCGTCCGTCTATCCTACCCTACGACACAGATTGCAGAGCAGCTCCTCCAAGATCTGACCCAGGTCGTCGCGGTTGCGAACGAGCCAGAAGCCGCCCCGCTCGAAGCACTCGAAGGTCGTGCGTTTCTCGCCGCCCTCCACCGGGACGTGCACCACGGGCGCCAGGAGTGCCGCCGCCAGCTTGGCAAACTCCACGGTGTTCTGTCGCGCCCGGCCGAACAGGACGTGGTGTCGGCATCTCTGGCGCAGCCGCGCGTACTCCTCCGTCTCCATGGGCGCCTTGAGCTTCCAGTCCAGGTTCGGGAACTTCCCGGCCGCCCAGACCCACGGATCCTCCAGCTCCTGCGTCGCCACCTTGATGTCGGGCACGGCGGCGACCACGAAGCGGATGCCGCCGCGGAGAACCCCCACACCGTCGTTCTGGTGATCGTTGAAGAAGGAGCCGCAGCCTTCCCGCATCTTGCCCAGGTTGATGTTCTCGTAGTGGGCATACACGGAGAAAGCGCCGGAGGCGTGGGATCGCCCCTTGTCCAGGTGCCACTGCTTCGCCTCCTCCGTCATCGTCTCGAAGACGGCAGTGTGCCATTGCCGCGCCTCGGACTCGAAGCGGTAAAGCCAGCTCGCCAAGGGCCCCACAGGCGGAGCGTCGCTCTGCAAGGGCACTCGCCCCACTTCGGCGGCAGCCCAGTTCGCAAAGGAGCCCCCGAACCCCAGGCGGATCAGGAGTCGCTTGGCCTCCTTCCGTCGCTCCTTCGGCGGCAGACTCGACAGCAAGGCGTGGCCGATGGCATCGAGCTTTTCCTCGCGGTTGTCCAGGTACTCTGCCAAGGTCCTCGGCAGCGGGACTATCTTGTGGAGCAACTGAAAGAACGCGTTGCAAATGTCCACCTCGACCGAGCCCAACCTGCAACGCACGATGTACCTGACCAACTTTTTAAACGCAAAGGCGGATCGTCCCACCAGCTGATCCGGCACACCACAAGCTTCAGCTCCTTCTGGATCTCCGGGGGGAGCTTGTCGATGAAGCTGTTGCGGGGGTCTGGCTCCTCCTCCTCCTGCTTCTTGGCCTTCTTCTTCGCAGAGGCTTTCGGCTGAGGGTCTGGCAACTTGCCGATCCCGCAAAAGAGTCTCCCACGCATGCCCGGCGGGCGGCGCCCCGGCCGCATGAGCACCGGGACCCAGCCGATTCCATCGGGCCCGATGCTGACCGCCCGTTTGGAGAAGCTGTAGAGAACATCGAACATGCCGCTGTCCGGGCATCGGCGGACCGCGTCGAGATGCAAGGCCTCCGAGATCGTCGCACAGTCCACCCTCTCCCAGAAGAGCTTGTACTCCGTCAGGTTCTGATCCTCCGGAGGCTCCGCGAACTGCTCGTTGAGCAGCGTGTAGTGGCCCATCTCCGTGGGTCGAAGGGGCTCCTCCGGCTCGTCCTCGAAGTCGCCGTCGCTCCAGTCAAAGTCCAGCTCCTCGACCGCTGGCTCCTCGGACTTTGGCTCCATCTTTGGCTCCTCGGACGTTGGCTCCTCCGACTTTGGCTCCATCTTTGGCTCCTCCGACTTTGGCTCATCGGACTTTGGCTCCATCTTTGGCTCCTCGGACGTTGGCTCATCGGACTTTGGCTCATCGGACTTTGGCTCCGACTTTGGCTCCTCGGACTTTGGCTCCGACTTTGGCTCCTCCGACTTTGGCTCCGACTGTGTCGCCGGCTCGGACAGCCTCCCACCCTGGGTAGCCCTGATTGACTTCATGAACTGGTCCAAGCCTGCACCGAACGAGACCTGCGGCGCGGCCTTCGGAGTGCCCTTCGGCACGGCCTTCGGAGCGGCTTTCGGCGCGGGCAGGGCTCGATGAAGACGCTCCTCCAGATCACTCCGCGGGCTCTGGCGAACAGAGTCCGCAAAGGTGACATTCACCTTGGGCTCCATCTCCTTCAGCAGCCTGAAGGCTTCAGCGGCTCGTGGATCACGACACCTGTCTGGATGTACCAGCAGCAGCATTTCCTTCCAGCAGGTCCGCGCGGCGCTGCCCGGGAAGAGTCGGCATCCCATTTTTTCAGCTGGTCGGTGCGCGGAGCTCAGCACAAGTTGCACCGCCAGCGCTCGCGCCTCGTCCGAGACGCTCATGGCGCCTACCCTTGCAGCTGGGGGGCTCGGGAAGGCAACAGCTGCGACGAATGCGCAAGCATGCCAACCAGCCGGCTAAAAAGAGGCAGCAAAGAGGGCACCGGGGTCCAGGCGATGAAGCCTCCGCAATGCGCTGTGAGCCGAAGACTACAGACCTGGGAGCTGGACAGAGGGGGACAATTTATTTATATAAATCTCTAAATGCCTCTATGCCTGGACGCCGGGGATCGAAGCATTTAGAAATTTATATAAATAAATCCGACCCGCCTCGCCCGCCCGGGAAAAAAAAAGCATGCTAACCAACCGGCTTCAAAGAGGCAACGGAGTGCACCAAGCTTCGGACCGACGTCACCAGCCCATCGGAGACCTGGGCAGAGCAAGAGGGCGGATACGCAGGGCCCTCGGGGCTGCAGGCTGCGCAAAGCTCTCACGAAATTGCAGCACAAATCCCAGAGCACTTTTTTTAACTCGACCGGCAGGTGCACAACACCGTTCTGTACCGTGGCGCCGTTGCCATGCCAGGGGACTCATATCGCACCCCAATGTACGGTGGTGCCATCGCCCAAAGTTGCTATGAAGAAGCTCGGACCCGAACTAACATGGATGACATTCTGCAGCTGATGCTGTACTCCACTGCTATCTCCTCCCGCCACGGCATCCCCCCAGGTGACCACGGAGCCATCGTGCAGGATCGCTGCAAAGGCGCTTGCTGAGGCCTGGATGCACCTCACGGCCTGCATCGACGGCCACAGTCGGCATCGCCCCAGGTCACCACAGAGCCGTCTTCCAGGAGGGCCGCGAAGGCCTGGCCGCTGGCCTGGATCTCTCGGACCTTCACCAAACGGTCCCGCACGGCCTCGCAGTCTCCACCGCTGCTCGAATTGCCCCAGGTCTGCACGGAGCCGTCCTTCAGGATCGCGGCAAAGGCCTCCTCTGTCGCCTGGATGGCCACGGCGTCCGTGATGAAGTCCTCCAAATCACCTCCAGCCGCCTCGCCACCACAAGCGTACACGGTGCCGCTGGACGTGATTGCGGCGAAGGCAAACCTGGTGGCCTGTACGTCGACGACCCCGTAAAGGTCCTCCCCATTCGCAGACCAGAAGCCGTCGCCACCTGCATCCAGATCACCCCAGCAAGACACTGAGCCATCGGCCATAATCGCCGCGAAAGCCGACTCAGTCGCTTGGATCTTCACAACATTCTTCAGCGCCGGTAAGGCCATGCTGAGGTCGCCGCCCTCATTTGCATCACCCCATGCCGCGACGCTGCCATCTGCTAGAATCGCGGCGAAGGCACCTTGAGTGGACTGGACGGCGATCACTCCTTCCAGGAATCGAGGCACAGGACCATGGCCGGGCAGAAGGGGTATCGTCCCGCCTCGATCCGCGTCACCCCAGCACTCGATCCTGCCATCGAGCGTTATAGCCGCGAAGGCGCTGTCGGTGGATTGGATCTGTCCGATCTCTGCCGGGATCTCTGCCGGGAAACCGCCGCAATTTTTGTCGCCCCAAGCCACGACCGATCCATCATTCAAGAGAGCTGCGAAGGCGGTGTGGGTGGACTGCACCGCCTTCACCCCCTTCGCGCCACCTCGGCCACCGAAAGCAGGGTCCCCCACCGCCTCCGCGGTGCCATCAGCGCGCAGGATCATGTACGCTTTCGCACTCGCCAGCGTGCAGGGCAAGATCGACTGGTACGTGAGGACTTCATCCCCCAGCCTCGCATCCTTCACCTGAATGCCGAGCTCGAGGGGCTCAGTCGCGCGCAGCAGACGGCCTCGACAGACAAGGCCCAGCGCCTGTCGGGCCCGTCGGCCACGTCACCCAGGCTCTCATCGGGCTCTGCCTGGATGATGGCCTCGCGCCCACTCAGCATCCGCACACGGATGCTCATGGCTCAGCACCAACCCCGATGCAGTCCAGCAAGAGCAAAAACGCTCCAAAGCATCGAAACATGCCAATCCACCGGCTTCAGAGGCACAGGGCTAGCACTCCGACCCACCGCAGAGCAAAGGCCCGGACGCTTCGAAGGCGAAGAGGTGCCGTCGCAGAAAACCTGGGCGAGCGAGGAGGGGCCGGGGCTCCCGGGAATGGGGGAATGCAGGGCACTCTAGGTCTAGGGGAGGGGTCAGCAGTGCAGGGCCCTCCTGTGCGCACTCAGCCAGAGAACCCCAACCCCACCAAGCCCGAAGACACCCGAAACGACGAGCTTCTAGGAGCGAGGTGGCGACGAAGGTGCAGACCTGGGCGGGTGGCGAGGAAGGTTGGGCTCAGGGCGGGAGGCCTACGGGGAAAGGGCGAAGACAGCAATGCAGGGCAGTGAAAGGCAGCCTAGAGGAAACCGAAAGGGTTAGGGACAGGAACACAAACACCGCTCAAACGACCTGGCTGCACTCTGAGGCTCCCGCCAAGGTCCGCCCAAGGATTCCCAACCCACCCCCCGCCCAAAACCGCCCAAGACAGCTTGAAGGAGCGAGCGCGGCAATGAAAGTTAGGCAGAGGGCTGCCAGCAAATGCTGCGGCGCCACAGGTCAAGACTGAGCATGCAATGAAAAGTGACATGTTGCACTCAAAGAAAACACTCGGCACGCTTTTTTAAAAAACCTCACCCCTCGGATTCGAGCTGTTGGGTGTAAAAAATTGCCAGTTCTTGAAGCCAGGAACGCAATCGTCATAGCAGTGCTTCTGAATCACATGCACTGAACCTTGGTCACTGGAACTTCCTTGTAGATGGATGTGCCGCCCTCAATCCATCTGCATCAAGCTGCTCGGCGCGCTGGGCTCATGGTCCTTGTCCTCCGGCAACTCATGGTCATCCTTCTCTTTGTCCTCCGGCGAGTTTTTTTTGTCCTTCGCCTTCTTCTTCTTCCGTTTTTGCTGGACGCGGATGCCGTGGATGTGGATGCCGTGGATGAATTTATTGGAGTCCCGGGAGGAGGTGGGCAGCGAGCACAGAAGGCGATGTCGTATAGCTCCCCACCCCATCGGCGGAACGTGTGACCATGCCAGCGGCATTCTGGGCCTTCTCCGCCGCGTCTGCTCCCGAACTCGTGCTACGAAATGAAGCTGCCTGGGACGTGTGTCTAGTAACTAGAATCTAGTATCGATCCCCGGTTAACCGTATGTGTTTACTTACAACGAAAAAGAAAATCCACTGTCCATCCAAAAGACTCCTCGGCCTGAAGACCCTGCCACCATGTCTCCACGACGGGGATGCACATCACCACATCGTCGTCCATCTGTATCTGCACTACGGCTTCGTTTGGAGCGAGATCTCGCCCGCGCCCAGCCATCGTCACCGTCCTAAAGCCGCTAAAGCCCTAGGCCCCTGCTAATGCGTAGCTGTGCCGACCTACTGCTGCTATGTGTGTGTGTGTGCCGCCTCCATGCTGCTATCTATGTGCCTAGCTGTGTGCCTAGCTGTGACTGTGTGCCTAGCTGTGTGCCTAGCTATGTGCCTAGCTGTGTGTGCCTAGCTGTGTGTGCCTAGCTGTGCGTGCCTAGCTGTGTGTGCCTAGCTGTGTGTGCCTAGCTGTGTGTGCCTAGCTGTGTGTGCCTAGCTGTGTGTGCCTAGATGTGCCGCCTAAATGCTGCTAAGTTCTGCCAACTGCCGCCTATGTTGCTGGCATGTCCTCATGTGCTCTTAGCGACCTTGAATAAGCGGAGCGCGGAAAAAAAACTAAGTTAAGTGCAGGGACGCGGGATGGGCAACCTACGGGTTAGGGACGCAGGGCACTTGCAGGGCAGCTGGGAGTCAAAGCCTACTTCGGGGGCCGAAGGGGTTCGGGTGCCTTGAATGCCCTGAACCAAACCCAAAACAAACCCGGCAAAAAGCACTCTAGCAATAGCTAGATAACAGATACGGTCGCGAACTTT